CCACCATGGCTTTCAAAGTCTAAAGGAAATGAGAAAGAACACTATTGGAAGCGCACTTATGGGGGAATGGGGAAAAATGATTCATGTGCTCTCACACACCCGCCTGGTGGGGAGAACATATGTAGGGTCGAAAGCTTGGATAAGCTTCCTGAACCCTGTGTCCTCCACAAAACTGAAGGGCTGGCAATCTTCAATCACCATATTGATTAATGCCTCTTCCACTGCATTCTTATTCACTGCAGTTTAACAGAGACAGAGTTAATGATAGATGTCATTCATTTCATCTGTCACATTTGAAATACACATGGTAGGCTATGCTGTTCTTTCATTGCATGTTAAAATGCCTTACCTGGGGGTGGTTCTGTTTGAGTTGTCTCCTTATTTTCATGCAGGGCCCTATAATGCCTCAACATCGATGACTTGTTCTCTTGGTACCCAAGTTCTTTGGAACAAAGTTTACACTTCACCTTTTGAAATATCAGCAAGTCGAAGAAAGACATTATAATGAGGGATGCACTGTGCTGTCACAATAATTTACAATATATATTCACACTGGTTATAATTCGTACCTTTTTAGGGGAGATCTGCTCAAAATGATCCCAGACAGGGGATGTTCTCTTCTTATTCGTTGTGGATGGTGGGGTGCGTCCAAAGCCGTCCATTGCAAAACGAATCGGAATGAGTTGAGGTTTGGAGATGCGAGTTGAGCGTGTCAGCGTCACCTGTGAGCTCATTGTCGTCCCGGTGCGCCGGATTTATTTCGATTCACCCGCGAAACTATTTGTTGGCGGTGACGTAGGAATCCCGTCTCGCGGGGCGTCGGGCGGAGCAACGCGCGTTCCGAGGCATCGGGCGTGGCCACAAGCGTAATCGACACATGCCTCGAAGCGCGCTTCGCAGATTTTCTTCCGGTTTACTCGGCACACGCATCGGAGCCTCGGCACAGTCGGGCACATCACTACTTCACTGGAGTGGAGTCAACGAGGCGGCGATCTGCCAAATCTGTCGCCGTGTGATGCGGACACGCCGCTGACATCGAAGTGAGGTGGACATCAAAGGGGAAGGGTGGGGGCGGAAGAGGAGGCTCAAGGCTGCCCCGCCCGAAGGAGGAGATCATGCCAGCCGGCCGGCCGGCGCATTGGGCAAAACGACCTCTGCCCCCGCAAAATGACACCTCTGCAGAGACACGCCTACAGAGCGCAGTTCAAACCTCAAGCCATCGGTTACGCCGAGGAGCATTCGCAAAACAAAGAAATGAACGCTCGCAGAAGAAATGAAAAGGCAACCTTCTCAAGGAGGTCAACTATGCATTCGGGCGACGATTCGGCGCGGCGCGGCAACCGCCGGCGGACGACGAGGAAAGGCCGGCCGCCTTCCGCTCCGACGCATTTGCGGATGAGTGCATTGTTCAACACTTGGATGGAGTCCCACCCGACGCGACGCGCAAGCCTGCCACGCTCCGTTTTCAAGCGAGCATACGTTTGAGCGTGCCCGCGTGCGACGGCGCGGTGCGTCCCGTCAAACTGAGACTGCGCCTTTGAATGCGGTGCGGTCGTCGAGCTCCTCTCCAGGTGGAGGAGAAGCGGCTCGACGCCGAGCCCCTCCCGGATGACCCGGCTTCGAACCTCATCGCTTCGGGAAAGCCCGGACACCCCGCGGAGGAAGCTCCTTTCGGCCGCTCGTATCCGGGACCTCCTCCTTTGGGTCACGTCCCGCGGCTCGTGACCAGAGGTGAGGGCGGCAACGTAGAGCGAGCGGTAAAGCGGGAGCTTCGACTTTCGGCTCAGCTCTTTCTTCAGCGCGACGGAGCGATACAAAGGCGGGCCGCCTGTCCACCTCCCGCACCATCCTGCCCTCCCTCGTGAACAAGACCCCGAGATATTCGGGGTAAGACCCCATCCCCGACCCGCAGGGGGCACTGTGCCCTTTTCCGACTAAGGACCGTGGTTTCAGATTTGGAGGTGCTGATTTTCTCCGTAAGCTGGCACCATTAAAAACCAGATAGGCCGCTTTCACCACGTCCGCGCCCCGGCCGACCCCTCGGCTCTGAGACAGCTCTAATGTCAAGGGCGTCAACCTGAAGGCCTCCCTCGGGGAGAAAACCAAGGCGAGTCGCTACACCCATGGACATGCACGTTCATCACGTCAATCCCTACAAAGACTCTTTGGTTCAAGCAAGTTTCGACCTGCCACGCAAGCTTCATCCATAAAAATGAAGGCACTCTTCTCCCTGCTTGTCAATCTCTCACATCCAGCCGATTCTATTCCCCCCCGGCTTGGACTCATCCGTTTCCTGTCATTCCCTCGTGTCATTGTTCAATTGGGAAAAAAAACTGCTTCCGCAGGTCCCCCGAGGTCTGGAATGTCGACAATCTTCCTTAGAGTGCGGTCACCTCTTCTGGTTGTGCGGCGTTTTCTGCCACACTTTTTCCTTCCCACTGAGGTGCCTTCATACGGCACTCTGGGAACAGCCTATGCGCTCAGAGATTTCGTTCTGTGTCTTCCCCTCTTGTTTGAGGCCGTCAATGGTGGCCTTCTGCGGAATCGTCAGGTCGGCAGTCTTACCTGTGATCGCGCTTTTGAGTCATGAAGCAGGCCGGGAGTTTTTCAAAGCCTCGGGAATCATTTGCAGGTGTTTGGAGTGAACCCGTCGATTCCGATGATGAGGTTCATAGCTCCTTGAGAGTACCTTTTCATGATACGCTCATTTGGGGAGACAGAAATTTGGGGTTTTCTGAGCCGTATGCCAAAAATCATCAATATTAAAACAATGAACGACCTGAAATATTTCAGTTGGTCTGCAATCAATCTAAAATGTGTTCAATCAAGATTTTTTTAAAAAGCAAACGTCTTTGTTGAGATCTACGCAAATTCTTCTGTTATTTCTGCATGGCACCAAAGAAAGCAAGTGCTAGTAGTAAAGCTGCTGAAAAAAGAGGAAAATAGTGCGCAAAACTATTGAATTGAAGAAAGATTTGAGAGTGAAATATGAATCAGGCAGAGGCGATTGTTCTAAGACCTCAAGGGAAGCTGAGCTTCCCCTAAAATGTCAACAAATAAGTGATCAAATATATGTGTGGCCATACAATTGTGTGTACATGTCATTGACTAAATATGCGCTACAACGCGCTCAACTTTGTTCCGAATCAGCTTCTTCTTTCCGACTCTCTTCTCCTTCATTCCCGCAGCTTCACTGCGCTTTCAACTGTGTGGACGCTCAACGGCGAGAGAGTTCAGGCTAGGTTGTCCCAATGCATTGAAACGAGACGAGTCATTGGATAAATGCTGCTTTTGTCCCGCCCACCGGATGCTCAGTGTCTCCGGGAGTCTATGGACAGTGGGCGTGTATGGGCTGGCCCGGACGCTGAACTTTTCTGCATGATGATTGGATGCATCTGCCTGAGGCTGAATCTCTCTTTGATTGACAGCGAAATGAGCCAACCACCGATCATTTGGTGTCGGCATCCGTGGGAGCATTTTTCAATTCTGATTCTTTTCTGAGTTGAACGGGAGACTTCTTCGAATCATTTTTAGCGACACTCTCTTTGTTGAAAACAACGAGCGACAAATCAATCGTTTAGTTCTGGTGGGTTTTATTGTAGTTGCTTGTGTTCGCAGACTGACTTATATCACCACAGGGTCACAGAACATTTTCTTGAAAAGGAAGAAGAGAATAGAATTCACGTTTTCAAAAATAAATAAACGGACACATTTTATGATGTCGGCCGAAATTGAGCTTCCCCTCGTGGACAGACCAGCATCCGCCACTGGGATCAGGTGCGCATGTGTCTGTGTTGGCTAAGGAGTTCGGCATGCCGAAATCAGCAGCATCCTAAAAAAGAAAGACCGGCATAAAGTCAGTGATGTGGCTAACGGATCTCGTGTGTTAAGCAAAGGCCACGAATATTAGTGGAAGTGGAGAAACTTTTGCTTATTTTCATCAATGAGAAACAGCTAGCAGGGGACAGTCTCAGCCAAGATACGATTTGTGGCAAAACAAGACAATTGGATGGAGATTTGATCAAAAAAGGATCCGAGCATTGCTCCTGAAGAGTTTGATTTTAAAGCAAGCAGAGGATGGTTCGAAAAGTTGAGGAAAAGAAGTGATTCGTCACGGGGAGGCGGCCAGTTGAGACAAGGAAGCTGCCGAAAAGTTGAAAGTTGAGTTTGAAAATCTCATCAAGGCCGAGGAATGTCTTCCCCGGCAAACTTTTAAGATGGACGAGACTGGACTTGTGTGGCTAAAGCGGTTCAGAAAATGGATGGAGGGATGTGACCTCGTACCGTAGCGCAGGATTGCAGACAAAGCGTCCATGGTTACAGCCATTACTTTCAGGTTTAGAAATTCAAGGTGTAAAAGAATGCAATCTACAATTGTCACGATGAGAGAGAGAGAGAGAGAGAGATGTTCAATTTTTATGTGATAATGTCAATCTTTATGTTCAAATTGGTAAAAATAAAACATCCAAAATGTTTGTAGTTTGTTGTTACCTGCTCTCTTATTACACGTGTATACGGTTTATGGTGTAAAATAGTTGAAAAAAAGGCTTTTAAAAAAGTTGTTTTCTGGACTTGGAATGGATTAAAAATTTTACACTGATTCAAATGGCAAACATGGTTTTCGAACAGCCTTCTGGAAGGGATTATGGTCGAAAACCGAGGTTTGACGGTATCGTTTTTGTGGCCAGCACCTTACGTGCCGTATGGATCATGCGTCTTTCATTGGGTGCTCATCTGAATTTCATGCGGCGGTGGTGCGTGACGAAAAGGGAGTCAGTCCGGCAGCGGAAACTGCAGG